TTTTTCAGTTTATGTCTTTTCTTTGCTCGTGCAGGTGAGAAATGCTGAAGCTATGCCCACAGTGTCCAACTAGTGTTTCACTTCTGGATCCTAGAGCAAATTTTTTTTTAAAGAATACTCAAGCCTCTGCTGCTGTTATTCCAGCCTCTTTGCCACTTCAGCTGGCTATTCTCAGGCAAATAGAATGCAAAGCATCCTTCCCCTAATTAAACATTTAAACAATGTGTGTTTTAATACCAATGAAGTGCTTGGAGGAGGAGGGCAATGTGATCCTCCTCAAGAGCCTGAAACGACAGGGGACAGGGAGCAAACCTGTGAACCCCTGGAAGCCAGGGGCCATGACTCTCACAGCTCTGTACTCCTGTACCAGCATGACTTCCTGAGGCAGAGCCTGTGGCTGCAAGGGTCAGAGTAGCAAGGCTGTGTCCATTATTGTTGCCCCTCCTTTCCTGGTTCATCTATCCCATTTTTACTTGTCTTTAGGCAAGCTGGACCTAGGGGGCAAGTACACTGATTCCTGGATTTGCAATCAGCCCCCCAACTGGAAAACACCAGGCAGGCAAGTAGCTTCATTAGACATGGTCTTGGTCACTTTCAGTCATGAGCAGTGGGCTGACCTTGCCTCTAGAAGGAAGAAGTGCATCTGCACTCTTAAAGTGGCAGCAACACAACTTCTCTGAGACTCAGACTCTCCTAAGCATCATAACTGTTTGCCTGCTAACCAGACGGCTGGCGGTTCAAACCCACCAGCCACTCCTCGGAAGGAAGGTTGGGCAATCCTACTTCCGTAGTGGTACTGCCTCGGAAACCCAAGGAGGGGTCGCTATGAGTCAGGTATGACTCGACGGCACATAACAACAACAACAACAACAAGAGTCATAAAGCCCAGAACCAGGCTTAGTAAAGGAGAGATAAGGACAAAACATAATACCACCTGTTTACATTTGTTTAATGCTTTGTTATCCAAGGCCTGCTAACATTCATTCTCTCATCTAACCCTCACAACATCCCTGTGAGGTAGGTCTAACAATAAGTGATTTGCACACGGCCACACCCGTATTAGGAGCTGAGTAACCCACACCATCAGAGCACCAACAACAGTCTCCTAGCTCCCAGGCCAATGTACTTAGTTCATGATACACAAGCTATTTATGCCAAGTAGACACAGGGCCACCAGGGATGTGTCTTCTGGCTCTTAAACCAGAAGTGTCCCTGTTCCCTAAGCTTTCAGAGAGCACCAGAAATGCTGAGGTTCAGGTCTCTGGAAGCCAAGCAGGTAAACAGAAGGGACAGGGGGACTAGAGGTCCACGGTCAAGAGCTGCCCCTGCCAGTCAGAGCCCGGCATACACCATGCTTCCTACATCTTGACCTTTGTCGGGTGCAAACCAAAACTAAAAAAAACAAACTTGCTGCCATTGAGTCAATTCTGACTAATTGTGACCTCGGTTTCCAAGGTGGTAAAGCTTTATGGAAGTAGATTGCCTAGTCTTCCTTCTGTGGAGTGGCTGGTGGGTTTGAACCACCAACCTTCTGGTTAGCAGTCAAATGCCTTAGGCACTATGCCACCAGAGCCTGTCAGGTGCAAAGACCTTATCAATTTACTCGGGACTTTCAGTGCCCACAACCTGCGCAAAGCCTCAGGCATGGCTGGAGGCAAGACTCCTGACTCCCTCCCCTCTGATGGTGCTTCTCCATTGGGTTACACTCTGCAGTCTAAGAAGAAAAGGGGGGTGGTGAGGGCTGGCTGACTCAGCCTGCAAGTGCTTAGAGATCTGGATCTGAAAGGCCCTAGCACCATTCAGCTAATGATTATTATTAACTCTGAACAGGCCTTGGCACAGCAGCCAGCTGGCTCAGGGAGGATGCCTGGCTCTCCCACAGCGAGGTTTCAAAAACAAGACCCACAGCAGCCATGCATGGGGGTGGAAGGGTGGAGACAATGAGGAAAAAAAGGACGGACCACCGTCTGGGAGTGGGGATGGGGAGCCTGCCTGGTGAGAGAGTAGGGAGAGAGGAAGCACAGGCTGAAGAGATAGCAGCCTACCTTCAATAAAATTGAAGAGCCAAGGTGAAGCTGGAAATTTCCCCAGACACAGAGCTTCTGCCATTCAAACCACCACAGACCATGGTAGGGTTCAAGAGAAGGGGTGGGGTTACAGGAAAGATGAGGCCTGGTAGAGCCATCTGGACCTAGAATGGTAATCCCATTCTATAGTAAACCCACCTATATTTACAGTGTCCTCAAAATTGAGTTTGAATATAATCATATTTGGAATCAGGACTTAGTTAACCTGATAATGCAAATGTGTACAAATGATACACATTTTGTTTTTAAAAAGTCTTTGAGCACCCTGGCTTTTTTTTTTTTTTTTTTAAAGGCAAAACAGACTAACTACTAGCAGCTTTCCCTAGCCACAGGGACAAGGACAAGGGCAAAAGAGTAGCCGTTTGGTGTTTCTCCAAAGCCTATGTATGCCTCTTTGCTGAGGAGCCCAGCTAATATCCCAGAAGGGATGATAACAGAGAGGTGGAGGGGTGGGGTGGGGGCGGTGTGTGAGGAGAAGGAAACGCAAGCAGGAGGCATCTGTAGCCGGCAGCCACTGTGATCTCAGCTGGAGGAAGAGTGCTCTGGCACTGAAATCTAATGGTTGTCCAGCTGCTGCCCCAGGTTGTGAGGGCAGGTGGCAATGCAGGGAGGGATGGAAAGAAGGGAGGGAAGAGAAGTCCCCCCACAATGTGGTATGCCAGAAAGAAGGGCTCCCTCTGGTGACCTGCTCTCTATATGGCAGTCAGACACAGCTAAGCAGGAGACTGCTGTCTTCCCCTCTGCCCTGGAACCTTGTCCTCCAAGCCCAATGGTCAGAGAGGTGACAGTAGGGGCCCCTTCCTTTTGCTGAATATAAATGACTTCCCCCTTCCTCCTAGGGCTGGGAATAGACATCAGCTGGCACAGCCCACGCAAACTGCCGGCTGTCAGCACGCACACCCGCCTGCCTGCCTGCCTGCCTGCCTGCCTGCCTGCCCGCCCACCAGCCCCCGCACCACCTGGGAGGAGGCAACACCTCAGGCTGGCTCAAGCTCTATGGTGTTGCCTGTTTGGTTCTTAGAACTAGCTGGTGTACTTCACTCAGCCTTTCACCCTGCTGTAGACAGGGCAAGATCCCAGCAATAGAGAAGGGATGGCATCTCTGAACCACAGTGACCCTAGGTGAGATTCTTCTCCATGCAGCCCCAGTGACCATTTCTTTCAAGTTCAGACAACAATAGACAGATGAAGAGAGAGAAGGCAATGAAGGGGACAGGAAATTCACCCTCTCTCCAGCAAAGGCCTCTGTTTAGATGTTCAGGGTCTGGTGAGCTCCTGGGAGATGCTATTTGACCCAGAAGAAGCCTAGTGAGGTTCCTGTACTGTTCGCTTATATTCACCTCCTTGCTTCTGAGGCACCCAGGGAGGAGCTCCTGAATCTCTGGAAGACCTAGTATATCCAAATTTCTGACATCTAGAACACCTCCCACTGCTCCTAGGAACTGGAGCTCCAGCACCTATACTCCAGGCCTCCTAGAGCTTTCACTGGACTGTTTACACTGAGCTGTCTCTACTGTGTCAACAGCAGGTTTCCTGGCTCAGCCATCTTCAGCTTGCCATGATCTATACAGGCCTCATCTTTCCAAATGAGCCAGACTACCAGTCTGGCATTCAGCCCTCACCACCCAGGGCAGACTGGGGAACTACTTTCAGTGTGGAATAAGAAAGGATCTCTGCAAGAAAGAGGGCCCAGCCCTCATCTGCCAGCTGGCACCAAACTCAGCCCCCTCCTGGGCCAAAGAGCTGGCTAGAGTAGACAACTGAGGAAAGCTTAAATGACAAGGGCAGAAGGGGAATGAACAGGAGTACTCTGTTTTTCCTGGATCAGAAGAGCCCTGCCCCACTTCCTTGGCCCTTATTTTGTTGTTAAAAAAAAAAAAACCAAAAAACTTCAGAACAGCTTCATGAAGCTGTGTGCTAAGGCAAGAACCTGATCCCTAAGAAGAACAAGGCATGAGATGCCCAGGACTGTCTGTCCCTGGGAATGGATGTTAGGGGAAGGAGCACACCCAGGTCCTGCAGCTCTCAAGCCCAGATCTTGATGGAGCCTCTGTGAGTCGGGCTGAAGAAAATTCTTAGCTGGGCTCATCTCTTCTTCCATCCATCTCCTCTCTCCAGTGCAGTGAGGAGCTGGAGGCTTGGTTGAACCAATACCTTTTTGCTCCTCTAAAAACCTTAAAGTGACGTTAGTGCCTTTACTGTCTTGGGAGTCCAGTAGACCTTTACCTGGGTCCTATCTCTCTACAGTGTCTGACCCCTTGTGCCTTGGTTCATGGACCAAATCAAGTTTCCTGAAAGTCCATGAGGGCAGAACTTCCTGCCAGGGGGGTAAGGAGAATGAATGTAGGAATTACATCCTGAGTCTGGCCAAGTGGTCCCATCCATGGTCCAGAGCTGGAAGGGTGCTCTGTGACATCAACCTGACAGACACTGAATGTTATTGAGCTGAAGGGGACTTAAAACATTGTTTAGAAACATTCACTTCACAGATGAGAAACCTGGGACCCTAAGACATGTGACTTGCCTGAGGTCACACAACGAATCTAAGACCATAACCTATAACAAGATCCATGGGCTCTCTCCACTACACCACACTGCTTTCTCAAAAGTGACTGAAATATCCATAGCCATCATTCATAACTTTTAGGAACCCAACTCTTCATCAGATATGCTGCAAATGACCTCCACCACCATCACCGAAATTATCTTCTATCACAAATGGAGACTTTAGGCTCAAGCTCCCCATTACTTTCCATTTGCACTCAATACATTTTCCCCACTCCACCCCACTGTGTCTTCACCTCCACAATAGTAGCTTGGGTTTCTGCACCATCTGGCCCAGCCAAGAAATGCAAAAGCCCTACCACTTCTGAAGTGAGTCCCTTGAAGTTCATCAGAGGATCCATGGAAGTCCAAGGCAATTGCCCCACTTGGATTCAGAGTTCACAGGAACTCACATTTCCATTTTTTTCCTTGGCAAGTAGGAGCTGGAGATCTGGTGCATGATCACCAAGGCTGGGTAGAGGGGCAGGGCCAGGCACAGGTACCAGGCTGTACCTTTTATCTGGGCCTGGAACCACACTGAATACATGCCCAGGAACATCGTTACTGTAGCCATCAGGTAGACCACCAATCCACAGGTCAGATGGTAGAGCTTGAGGCGAGCCACCCGTGAGACCCTGGCTGTCCGGGGGCAAAGGAGGCAGAGCCCATACAGTGCCTGACCGACAGTGGCCAGCAGTGTCAGCATTCCTACCCAGCTGTGCCAGGACACCAGGTGGGGCAGTTCACTGCGAGTCCTGCTGGAGATGATGAAGCCCAGGCCCAGGGCTGCACAGAGGATGGCCAGGGTCTGCCCCACCCAGTGGAGCCGGATCCGAGCCTTGCGGGAGCAGAAGAAGAATGGGGAGTGCTCAGGTGAGAAGAGTAGGATGGCCTCAGCCATGCAGAGGCAGAACTGTGAACACAGGAGAGGGCCAGTGAGCTTTGGGGCCAGTTTGGAGGCCTGAGAATAGGAGCTGCTCTCACACATCCCAACAAGGACAAGGGGTGGGGCAAAAGAACATCCACTAGGACCTCCTGTCTCACAGGCCAGCATTTCTAGGAACATTTGGGAATCAACATTTGAGTAGAAGTTTTATCATTCAGACTGACATCACCACCCTCAACCTTCAAAGACAGTAACTCCCATTTCTTGACCAGTGGAAAGAAATAGCATGTTAAATCTCCTCAACTTGTCGAGGGAGGATGGATAACATCCTTTCTTCCTCCTTTCAGGTCCTAGTGAGGAAAGAAATAACTTCCAAGCCCACTCCCGTCAGACCACCTGACACTTTACCAATGGTCCAGCCTCCATATTTCCCAATCCCATAGATTATGGGGAAGAGGAGCCCCTAGCTATTTTTCCCACATCTCTCTCTCTGGGTTTTAGAAAGGCTAAGTTTTCTGAGGACTGGATGTTTCCCTAGGGAATGAAGCGAGGTATATTCAAACACATCAGCGGTGGAAAGAAGCCCAAACTCACCGCCAAGGCCATGAATACAGGGTGCCACGAGAAAAGACCTGAGAATCAAAGAGAACAGGCTGATGGGTGGGCACCATTGTTTCCGCCCAAACAATCTGGCCACAGGGAAAAAGTGAGTGTACCATCTCCAACCCTAAACAGGAACTCAGGGCAAAGCGGGGCAGCCAAGGGCCTTAGGGTGAACAAACAAAAGAACGTCCTGCACATGTATATCATTATGGCCTGGGTTCCCCATGTGGCAACTTTCAGCTGTTAGCCCAGTCCTAATAAGGCCCTCCTTTACTTGTATCCTACATCAGGGGCTCTGCTTACGCTGTTCAGTTTCTTTACAATTGTCTGCCCCTCCCCCTGCAGCACCCCAGGCTCCACCCTTCCATGCCCCCCCTCCCCTGCTCCCGCCTCACACTGCCCTTACAAGCCCTTCACAGTCCGCCCCTCCACTGACTCAGGGGTCCCCTCTTCTCCCAATGCTCTCAAGCGCAGGCTACCCCTCAGGATCTAGGCTCCGCCCCCTTCCTTAGCCCCGCCTCCCACACTCACTGGTTCCTGGCCGGGACAGCACAGTCAGAAAGACGGTGAAGCCCAAAGCCACCAGATGCGCCAAGATCCCACTGCCTCTCCGCAGCCAGCAGGTCAGTCCCGGCTCCCTCGTTGGAACGGGAACCAGACCTACCTCCAGGGTCTGCATGGCAGTGTTGGGCCAGCTGCACTCTCCCAGCTGCCGGAGCGCGTCTTCCGGGTTTGTGATTGCGGAGGCGGCAGCCGCTGCAGAGAGGCTCCTCCCCGGGGACGCCTTGGGCAGTGCGGCAGCTTCGCCCACAGCGCCCCCTGGAGGGTAGGGGGGAAGCGCGTCGGCCTCGGAGAGAGGCCAGACTCCAGGGGAGAGCTCGGAGGGCAAAAGGGGATCAGACAACTGTAGGCCCACCTTGTGCCTTTAGCCAACCTCCTTTGTATTTTTATTCCTACAAAGGCCTGTGTCTCAGGCGCCCTGTGGATTCACGTTTATGGTAACTTATTTCAGGGAAATCACAACCTTGGTACACTGAACTCAAAGAGTATGAAACAAACAGCATTTAAGAGTTTTCCAGAAGTATTAGGTTTCCCTGCCATCTCCTGCCATACCCTCTTGTATTCCTGTCTTTTTAAAGGAATAGCTTCCTCTCTGCCCCAAAGTAGGGAAGATGAGAGTATAAAGCCAGAAAATAATACCCTCTACCTGGTGAACTGGGGTTTGAGGATCAAGAGGGAGGTGCAAGAGCCTCATCCCCTATCTGCACAGTCGTTGTCCTCAATTAAAACAAGTGGAAGAACTAGGGCACTCTTAGCCCTTTGCCACCTCTACACCAGCTGCTCAGGCCTGGGGAGCCCAGGGACCCTGAGGAACCTAGGGCCTCCCACACCCTGCTGCTTCCCTACCAAGGGGAGTTCTGTAAATTATTACCTCCACCACCTCCAAAAAGCTATGGTTCAGCCCAAGGATGTGTACCTGGGCAAGATCCCATCCTTAAGGGCAAATCCATGGGCCAGGGAAAAAGACCAAAACATACTGTCCCACAGAAATCAGGGTCATCCTGAGGGCATGCACCAACTCACTCACGCTCCCTAAGTGGTTAAGAAAAAGAAGCTGCTAGTAGGAAGCTGGAAGGACAGGCTGAAGAAATGGAGGCAATAATTCAGAGATGGGATGGAGGTCTAGTGTTGCTGGAGAACAAGCAAGGGGCCAGAAGCCTACTCCTACAGACCCCCAGGGCAAAAAGTAGAGCCAGCAGTGTGGCTCCCCTACCCTGTTAAGTTTCCCTTCCTAGTAGGACCAGAGTAATGACTGGAGTCAGAATGATCAGCTTCTACCCCAGGATGAAGCAGACAGACTGTTAAAGGGTAGCATAAGATTCTGGGAGCCTTGCTCCCTCTGAGCCACTCTCTTCATCATCCTATCTGGAGAGAGGACCCACCCCTCCCCCACCATGCTAAAAATCCCAGACATTTCCACATTAATTTCAAAGGAAAAAAGGAAGAAAAAAAAAAAAAAACACAAGAACACAAGAGACTTTTTTCAGGCAAGTGATGGGCACTGGGGTTTGGTGGCCTATCCTCTCAGCCTCCTAGGAGAGGATTGGGGACAGTAAGGACACTCATTTTGTTACATTTTTTTCTTCCTTTTCTATGATTCTGTTTTTATATCTTCTTAGCAGCAACAGAACAGGGAGACAGTCTTGAGGTATTTTAAAGAGTTTTTTTTCTTAAAAAAAATAATATAAAGTTATAAAAAGCGGCAGCAGCCTGGGGCCCGGATCTGTAGGGGAGGAGGTGCTGGCGGCTCCATCGCAGTGGGCAGGCACTTTCTCGTTAATGGGCTTTTGACTGCGGGAAGACAAGAGGCAAGAGACAGCGTCAGGTGGGGCCAACCAGTTCTCCTACCCAGTGAACTGTATGGGCCATTGGGGCTAGGGCTTTAATTTCCTCCTGCTGGCCCCGTGAGGAAGGCTGGGTAAGGGAGAAGATGAATGGCAGCCTGGCAGGAGCAGCCTGGGTAGGAAGGCTGGATGACACACCTGCACATATGCACACACACACTTGAGCCCTGGACAACTGTCAAATTCACTACACACATATGGGTGCCATGGGAGTTGGTATGCACCTGGCCCATGCCTGAACCAGGAGAGCAGCCCCTCTTCCCACTTTCTATAAGTCTCTCTCAGCTGAAATCCCAGGGTTTGCCCCCAGCATGTTACTCCAGGGCCCCTGTCAGAAGGGGCAAATATACTTGGCAGCAGGCTTTAACAAAAGCCCTGGAGAACTTGCCTTGCACTTGAAAACCTAGAAGTGGGCACATGTGTAAGGCAGACACACATGTATACGTACGTGGACCTTGAGTTGTGTCTTTACCCTTCCTTACCCTGATGGCCAGAGGTAGAACCAATGAAGATGACTGGCCCATCCATCTTATTGCCCAGCAGGTTAGGCCACACCTCAGTAGCCCAAGCTCAACCCCACTGCCCCTGCCCTTCCTATCAGAGCTCAGAGCTCATGAACCTCAAATGCCTTTCCTTCAGAGAACAGAGGTAGCTCCAATTTCTAGAGTGAGGTCCACAGCCAATTCTGGAGAAAATGGCCCTTTGGTTAAACCAAGAGTGGAAAAAGGCAGCATTTCCTTACCCTAAGAAAGAGGGCTGGGACTAGGAGAAGGCCTATCAGGCAAAAGTCGGGGTCACTTTGCTAAGAGCTGGTCCACCTCTCCCTAAAGATGGCCTAGGAACCTCCTCTTTCTTCCCTTCCCTGTACAAACACATACAGACACCTTCTCTGTGTCAGTGACCCATGGTGCATTCCACCCTGACCCATTCAGACCCCTCCTTGCCCATGCTCTTCAGGAAGGTGGCCTGGTACCTTCAGTGTGGAGCACTTCTCCTCAAAGGCCAAGGCCGAGCCTGGCTTCTTACGGCGCACAGAGCAGGCCACATTGGCAGAGGCGCCAGCCTGACAGTGCTTGGTCTTCACTGGCCGGCAGTAAGTGGCCAGGTTTTTCCGCTTCTTGGCTACCTCTTCCTCAGAGAGGCAATTAGTCGGCAGAGGCTTGGGTGGGTGTCCAGCTGTTGCCCGGTTCTCCAGCTGAGAAGCCTTGACTGGTGTAGGAGGCTGGTGAGGGGAACCCTGACAGTCCAGGGGCCCTGCCCGCTTCACCCTTGGCCCCACTGTCCCATTAAGCCCCATGCCCAGGGCTGTTTTAGTCTTGGCAGAAAGGCCCCGGCAACTAGAGGGTTTGCCTTTTCCAGTGGACTCCAGGATGCAGGTCCGTTTGAAAGTGGTGGGGCTTGGGGATAACTTCCGCTTTCGAGACGGGGCCTCCACCTCAGCCCCATCCTTGCCTTTGGACGACTTGCTGGCCTTGGAAGGCGGGAGTTTGCTGAAGGACGGGGATGGTGTGTTGGCAGGCAGTGGTGAGGTGATTGCCTGGCTTCCACCCATACACTCTGCCTGACTGCAGGCGGCTGCCACACTGGGAGAGCCTGCAGGGTAGCTGGGGACAAGGCTGTCCTTGGTAGGGTGTGTGGAGGATGGGCAGGCAGGTCTGGGGGGCAGGCCTGGAAGGCGGGGGCAGGTGCCCACAGAGGATGGGCTCAGGGGGACAGACAGCGGGGAGCTGACAAAGTGGGATGGAGGCTCAGCAGCTGGTGGGATCTTCCTGCAGCAAAAAGAGAGCCCCACTGTGATTGTAAGCAAGTGATCCTCCCCACAGACATACACCAGTCCCTCTGCCCCACCTAGAAATAGCCTGAAGAGCCCCAGCACTGCTGCCATCTGCTGGGATATACTGGAACTGAGGGTTAGGCACAGGGCAAAACCAAAAACCAAACTCAATACCATCGAGTCAATTCTGACTCACAGTGACATTTTTTTCTTCCTTTTCTATGATTCTGGGTTTCTGAGATGGTAAATCTTTATTGAAGTAGATTGTGCAGTCTTCCTTCCATGGAGTGGCTGGTGGGTTTGAACCACCAGCCTTCTGGTTAGCAGTCAGGTGCCTTAGGCACTATGCCACCAGAGCTCCAGGAAGAGGACAAGGGGTTAAGGATGACCTAAACCCAAACCCCACACCCAATCCTACTGAGGCAATTCCAACTCAGTGACCATACAGGACAGAGTAGAACTGCCCCCATAGAAACTGTTTCCTAGGCTGTAATCTTTATGGAAGCAGACCACTACAACTTTTTCCCATGGAGCAACTAGTGGATTTGAACCACCAAACTTCTAGTTATATCACCCAAATGCTTAACCACTGCATGACCAGGGCTCCTTAAGAATGAGCTAGGATATAGCATATGAATAGTACATAGATCCATTAAGAAACTCATTTTACATCTCAGTTTGGACATACCCTATCTCTTATACCCAAAAGATGCTAGAAGGATTGATAGTCTAGATTCACCCCCAAACCATCTTAGCCCAGCCCCAGGATGCTAAGTGTTCCTATCTCCTCTCCATGCTACTCACTGTCTGGGGTCTTCCTAGCAAAAGCCAAAGGCACCTATGTGTACGTGTGCAGGATCAGGGCATGCCCATGTCCCTGGGGCCTGGGAAGGGAAGTTCTGGGCCCGAGAGACTCACTTCCACATGTGTGAGCTGAGGTGCCGTTCCAGCATGGAGCTGAGTGCCGAGCAGAACCGGTCCAGCCGGCGGCTAAACACGTAGCATCCTGGGCTCACCAGCCGGCTCCCAAAGGTACAAAACTAAAGGCAGAAGGCAGGCATATGGTTAGCAGGCCTGACATGAAGGGAGGGCATCTGTACACAGGAGCTGATGATCTCCTTCCCATATTGTGTGGCAGGACTAAGCCACCCTATACCCTATACCCCAGGCCCCTGTCCCAGGTCCTTACCGCCTGTGGCCGAGGGGGGCGGGTTGCATAATGGCAGTCAGTGGGGAGGTGGAGGTCATCAGATGTCCCCTCCTCCTCACTCTCCTCGCTGGAAGCCTGGGCCCCAGCCCGGGGTAGGGGGAAGGGGAACAGGCCTGGGTCACCATCACCACCACAGGGGCCTTCATCATCCAATTCACTCTCAGAAGAAGCCCGGGACCTGGAAGGGCCAAAGGGGATGTAAGGGGCATGTGATTGGAGTGGGGTCAGGGTGGGGGTGCCCCTGAACCCACTGAGTTCAAAAACCCAGGGCAGATGCCCTGCTGGGTAGTCAGAGGAAGGAGGAGGAGGAAAGGAAGAGTGGGAACATCAGAGCTCAGAGTAAGAGACAGAAAGATCAGGGGCCACAGCTCCCAAGGGATTCTCTCCCCAACCCCCTTCAGTTCCCAGGCCCTGCCTCCTCAGGGGGAAAATCTGCTCCAGATTCGCCTCCTCCAGAAAATCTTCTGCACTCAGCTCTGGTCAGCCCAGTCACTCTCTCAACCCCCCTTCTTGCATCACATATTCCTGGGAGCCTGTCTGTGAGCTGAGCCTGTGTTTCGGGTCTGCCCCTGGTGTTACAGGCAGAGATGCGTGTTTGTCTCCTTCAGCAGGGCAGGCTCTCCCCGGGGTCCAGCGCAGCCTCTGCACATGAAGGGCCAGTGAATGAATACACAGCAAGACTGCCTCACCCAGGGCCCTGACCCTTTTGGCTACCCAATTACAAGCCTTTAGCCTGCTGGAAGCAGCTGGGAAAATGTTCGTATCCCGGGTGTTGGATCTGGCACACTTCAGAGAGGCTGGGGAACTGTGGCTTGCTTGGTTAAGAACAGGGGAATTAGCTGCACCCATACCACTACCAGGGACTCTGGGTATCCCCCCCACACTCAGGGCCAAGTGAGCAGCATCTTCCAGAACACCCCCTGGGCCTGTCTGCAAGGGTCCCTGCTGGCTTAGGGGCCAACTGTCCCAAGGTGAGGTAGGGGCTGAACCCCAAACATACCTGGCCAGTGCACAGTATGGGTAGGTCTGCTTGGCACGAGCAGAGAAGGTGCTGGGAGCAGCTGCTGCTGCCACAACCTGAACTGAGGAGGAAGGATCCTGGGAGGGGCGCTCCAGAGCTGATTCCTTGCGCCCTGGGCTCTTCTCCTTAGGAGATTCCCCTTTGCGGGAGCTGGCCTTCAGCTCTGCCACCAGCACATCAAAATCTTTGGCTCGACCTTGGACCTCTCGGCGCTGGTGCACTGAGTGGATCTAGAATATAGCAAGGTGATGGGGAGGGGATGTGTGAGCTGAGCAGGGGTGAGGGATAGCAATGTGCTCTGGCCCAGGCAACCAGAGGGGGATTGTATGAGTGTGTTTGTGGGTGTGTTTGGTTGTCTTTGTTTCACCTTCCGATGGGGTCAGAACCCTCCTTGTGGGGAGGGGTATAAAATCTGCCCTTGGCTGCTGCCTCTACTTTATGCTCACTGGGGGAAGCATCCTCTCCCCTTCCCTTGTCAGGGCCTAACCCTATCTCTTGGGCTGGATTTTTGAGAACATCTAAATTCTTCCCCTTGCCCAGGGTGTGGGGATTACCTTGCAGGTCAGCAGGCGTGTACAGATCTTTTTGGTCTCTGGATTTACTACACCACACTGCCTGTTGAGATCGCACTCCTTCCCTGTGGGGAAAGTAGTTTCCATGAACTCCGAGGCCATTTCCAGGAGTCTCACAGGAGGAGACGGCCTGGGAAGAGCTGGGACTAAGGCAGAAGGGCCTTTGGCCCTCAAGTTCTGGGCCTGCAGCCTTCCAGAGAAACTCTTCTAGGCATCAGCATCTCTCTGCTGGGCCAGAGAACCATTCCCAAATCTGGCACTCCTTTTATGGGCTTCAAGTCCAAACCAAGGCAATACACATCAAGAAACAAAAGCAGCAGTAGGCATCTGGGATGCAAGGGAAACCAGCTATAAGAGGAGTTTGGTGCCTTGGATCCAGATGAGAAAAGAAATGAAAGTCAACAGCCCAAAGTGAGGAAGAGTCATTTCACCTGTTGGGCATAGGCTCCCTTAGCCTTGACCAGGAGACCTGGGCTGGAAAGAAGCTTCCCAAAGAACAAGCAGGTCAAGTGCACGTCAATATCAAGGATAACAGGAGCCCACTTGAATCTTCAGGGGCTTCCTGATATTCTCCCCATCTGACCCAAGGACAAAGCAGCTCAGGGGTCCCCACTCTATCTTCCTGACCCCCAGAACCACCACTACTTACGAGCCATCTTCCGGTGGGTTTTGGGGGTCAACCTGACCCCACCAGGCTCCTTCTCAGGTGTGCTGCCTTCACCCCGGTGACCGGGGCCCTCACTGGAGGCTGCCTCGATGCTCTCCCTGCCAGGAGGTTCTTTAGGAAGAGGTGCCATGGGGGTTTTTCCAGGGGAGTCCTTGGTAGGGCCACCTGGCTGGCTGAGGAAAGCAGAGGGTGGGGCCACCCTGATTCCGTGTCCATCAGGCTTCGGGAGACTGGACATCTTCTCCAGATTCACCACAGGCACGAAAAGGCTACATAGGGAAAGAGGGTATGGGCTAGGGGATTGGGGCAGCTGGGCCTGGGGCCTAGATTTGGGCCCAGAGCTATCTCCTTCCCTCTGGGACTTGGGTGAACTCTAGCAGGGGTCCAGAACATGGGAAAAAGGGACCCCCATATTCCCTGGAGAACATGGAAGGGGATTGCAGCTTAGGCTGGCTGCCTCCTGCTAATTGTGAGCAACGATCCATCTGTCCAGGGCCAACCCACCCTCCTTGGACTAGGGTCAGGGCTGGTCTCAGGGAATCTCCAGCCTCCCCTTACCAGAGGTTGTCCTTCTGGGTCTTCTCTGGAGGCTGGTGGCCACGGCTTCGGGACCCCTGGCCCTTCTCCCTGGAGGAGGTTTTGGTGGAACCTGGTGCCCTACAAGCTGGGCCCTGCCCATTCACTACATGGCATTTCTGGGAGCTGGCAGGGGCTGGAGGTGGGGGTGGGGCCCGGGCGTAAAGCTTGCTGAGGGGCCCATGTCTTCTTTCTGTCACCAGGAGGTGGAGAGAGTAATCAAGGTGAGTTGTGTCAACTGCTTTCTCCCCCAACCTCCTAGCCCTGCCCACATCCCAAGTTAAAGAATCTGGAGTTGCCATAGCTTAGCTTTCAAATCTCCTTCACATTCAGTTTTAAGCCATAAAAACTCAAAATTCTAGGCCCCAGCTTCCTGAACATCTTAGCTCTTCCCTAAACTCCACTAGGATGCTAGAAGTTTGCTCAGATAATAACCCTGACCCCCTACAATCCTCTCAAGCCATCCCAGGACCTTCTTGTCCCCAAAGCCTCCCTCCATTACCTGAAACAACCTCCCAACTGACCCTGTCCTCAGAGTTCCTTGTTCCACCTTCCCCTGTTCCCTCTATCTCCTCCCTAGAGCTCCCCTCACCGCAGTGCTTCTGGAAAGCTTGAGGCTTCACCACTTGGCTGCAGTGGTTACACACAACCAAATAGAAGTCGTCATGGGCAGGGCAGTGCCCGAAGATGGACATGTCTGCAATGACAGAAGCCCTCATCACCGGGGCTGGGGCCCCAGGGTTTCCCTGTAAGATCAGAGAGCACTCCCACCCCCACCACTCAAAAGCCACTTCACCTCCCACCTGACATGACAGGCTTTATGCTGGAGATCCCAGCTTCCAGAGTTCAGTCTCACCAGTCCCTAAGAATGTGGGCTTTCAGGTGAGTGGGTACCAATCACCTATGATTATGATCTCCAACAGGAAGTCATAGGAGGCAGAGGAATGGGCTGACCCAGACCTACCAAAGTGGGGAATCCCCAGACCTGCTGCTTTAAGCAGCCACCTCCTTTGGTGTGGTGGTGGTGGGTCCTATGTGCCCTGGACCCCAGCCCTATTGTGTGTTGACTCCCACCTTCTTTAATGAGGGTCATGGCATCCAACTTCTTCACGTTTTTGCTACCCTCCTCCAGCTCAGCCCCTGAAGGAAAAACACAGTTCAGAAGGACCATCTCATTCCCAGATGTCCCATCTCTTACCCTATCAGGGCCTGAAGGTGGGTGATTTGAAGCCCACATTCTGTAACAAACTCCTGTTGCTCAGGACTTTGGGAGAATCTTTCAGTGGATCATTCTCAAGTGTCTGGCTTCCTTCACCTGTCACCTCAGGCGTGAGGTGGCCCTATTAAAAGGGATCCAGCCACCTTTTGTATGGACCCTTCCCTCCAAGGTGCAGTTTGGGGTTTCATGCTGACTAGTTGGGTGATTCTGGCCTGCTTCCCTATTTAAAGGGAAAATGGGCCTGGACAAATTCTACTATAAATCTCCAGGTCCCTTGACAGAATCTCAGATGGATTCTTTCGGCTACTCTGTGGCATCTCAGATAAATACTTTCCTAGGCCCCCACCCCCCATGAACTCATTTCTGCTTCCCTGGGTTACAAAGCATTGTCAAAGTTGTACCAAGCTTCTCAGGTCCTACAGTGACAGCATGGCCACAGAGAAACTGTTGTCTTTGGGCCTTTCAGCATCTTCAGAGTCCCTTTAGTTAGCTATGCAAGCCCCTCCTTTCCTTAGGGAGGCTTTGCAAGAGGGTTGCCCTTGTACCTCAGTTTCTGGGTTGATGGCAAAAAACACCTCAGTTGTGCAAAGCAGCTCTTTCCCCATCCCCCAACTTTACTCCTCCCCCCTCCCTTCTCTACACCCCCTCCCTGTCCCTTGGAAAAAAAAAAAAAAAAATCAATTCTGAGTCACCAAACCCGTCTGATTCCATTTCCGGTTCTCAATGCACCCAGACCCTGACAATGGCCCCATCCTTGCCCATCTAGCATGGGGCAGTCCTGGGGTGGCCTGGGCTCCCATTTAGGTTTGCTCTCTGATGTCCACTAGCAGATTTGCCCCTTTACAGGACGAAGATATGTTGACAGTTGTATACATCTCATATCCAAATATGAGAGGTGGTGGGTTAGGCATTCAGGAGACAAGGGGCAGATCCCACTCTTAGGTTGGTTACATGTAATCGTGGGGCATGATGGACAGAACCAAGCTGAGAGTCTGACGCCTCAGAGGAGAACAAGTGTCATCAGAGACTGCTCCATGCAGTCTCCTCCTCCACCTCCTCTCACTTGCAAACTTCTTCAGGGGCATGATGCCTACTGTCACTCCCAAAGGCCACGAAGCCGGGTGCCTCTTGGGGCCCAGGGAACAAAGATCAGGGGAAGGGGCTATTGGCCGGTTCACTAAAGGCACTCAGAAACCTAAAGAAGGTGGGGTTCAAAGGAGAGAGCCAAGAGGCAGGGCAAGAGGCCCGGGAAAGGACGGAGGGTTAGAGGGGTGGATGGATGAACAGAAGGAGGGAGGGAGGACAGAGATGGAAGGACAGACAAACTAGTGCGGAGGGAGCCGGGGTCTAGGAGCACTGCAGCCGACAGGCAAACGCCGAAATGGAGCAGGAGGTGTGGGACGGAAGGCAAAGGAACAAGGGGGCATGAGAGGGGGACATAGAAGTGGGGTGCGTGGGAAACACGTGGAGAAGACTGTTGCAGATGGGGAAAGCCAGAGGCAGGTGCAGGAGGGGCGGAAGCTGGGAACCAGAGGGCAAGGAGAACGATTAAAGCAGGCAGATGTAGCAGATGTAGGGGTAGGTATTGGGCACGGACAGAAGCAAAGGTGGGCTGGGTGGGCTGCATGCGGAAATTCGGCGCTAGGACCCGGAGGCGCGAAGCTAGGCGAGAAGGCGGGCACTAGGACCCGGCGGGTCCTTTGTTTGGGGGGCCGGAGAGCCGGACGGCGGCTCCCGTCGGCGGCTCCCCTCAGCTGGCGGGGGCCCGGAGTGGGGGAGGGGAGGCAGTGATGGGGTCCTCAGACTCTAGGGGGGCTTCACTCACCGTCGGTCGCAGGCAAGTCGGCCCGTTCCACCCACGAGCTCCAGCTCTGTCCCGCGAAGTCATCGAGACTCGGCACCCGCCGCTCCAGAGCGGCCATTGCTGCCGCCGCGCGTTCACGCACCGCCATCACCGCCGCGGACGCGCGCCCGCCCCGGCGCCGCCGCCGCGCGGCACCCTCCCTCCCACCCCACCGCGGGCACGCCTCCCCTCTCTCCACCACCCTTCCAGCTCACTTTTTGCGCAAGCGCCACGCAAGTAGCCTTTTCTTTCCCCTCCCGCCCGCATAGCCTTCTGGGAAATGTAGTCTTGGAGGGCGTGCTGTAGCCTACCGTTCTTACTGCTAAAACCCCTTCGAAATGTGCAATTGGGAAGGAAAAAGTGAAGACTAAAACCCTAAGACCTCCTCTCCTAACCCTTCTGCACACATTCTTCGTGCTAACAGCCCACTCTCCCAAAGTCACTGCACACATACCCCAGCCCCAAATCTCTATCTGCCAAAGACGCCCCTCTATGCGGCGCGACCGCCCGCCGGCTGGCGCCCCTTCCCGGGCTGGCGGCCACTAAGCGACTCTGCACTCTACTAGATCGAATAGGGTAGGTGCAGGGAGGTGGGCGCTGTGAATCAGAAGGGCAAGGGGAGGGAGTCTGTAGGATGTGCTGAAGGACACAGAGGTTGGCGTGGGGGAGGGTCCTCAGCTCCCATATTGTGCCTCCTCTGTGGGAAGCCTACGCCTCCCTGATGCAGAACAGAGAGCTGGAGTGGCGTTGTCTGGCTTTAGGAGGACTTGGCTGAGCTGACCAAGATCACCTGTCAGGATGACAGAAGGCTATCTCCGAGCCAGAGCCAGCCCCGGAACTGAAGTGGCCCCGAGGTTGCTGGTGTTTGCGGCATCTGTCTGCTGATCTGATCTGTCTCATCCTCCTGAGAACCGCGATCGATACCCTGCACTGCCTCTTCCCAAACCCTGGCTGGACCCTGACTTTATCCATCACTTCTTTTTCTAATGAATATTATCTCTGCTGGAAGGGCTGCTACCGGAACCTTGGCATAGGGAGATTCCTCATCAGATCTGTCATTTTCCTTGCTAAGGCCTGGAAGTACCACCACCATCCCCCCCCCTTTTTTTTTTTTCTCAGCTGATACCATTTCTTCTCACCCTCCCACAATTAAGAGACAAAAGTCTGCTGCCCTCTACCACTACTGTCGCTTCTGAAAAAAGATACTAAACCTTTTTCTTCTTCTGTCTCTCACACTTCACCCCATACTCATCCCTTCAGCCAAAGGAGAACCAAATTTGGGAGCAAATAAGTCAAGATCTGTGATTCCAAGACCTCAGATTTTCTTCCTCTTTTTATCCAGTGCAGGTTTAAGTACTTCAAGGATACTTTGTGAGGACAGGGATTCTTAATCCGAACTCCATAGATGATCTTTACTCCAGTAATAGGGAGAAATTGAATAAAAATCGTATCCAAGTGCATTTTTCTAGGGAATGTAAATGTAACGTGTCACTGTCTGTTGGAAGGGGGATAGATGTGCAAGTTTGTTCAGCAAGAACTTTGTGGTTACGAGGGTAGAGCATATGGCCATCAATTCCTGACAGGAGGCTTGTCTGGGTCACAGATGGTAGGAGAGCAAATGGAAACAGCATTGTGGAAGCCGCTATCCCATGCCTTTTGAGTTTGCCCCAAATTTACTAATGAGTTCCAGTGACTTTGGACTAATTGGGTGCCACCAAAAGAAGAGATGTCACCAGACTGGAGCCTGCCAGAAACAATTGCTCAGCCAGCAGACCCTACTACTTGGAATGCAGGGTGGAGAGGAGTGGAATGATGTCTCAATGGAAATGCTGATATTGGTCCAAGAACTGAGAGCAAAGGGGTAAAAAGAGAGGAAAAAAAAAAAATTCCCCAGAAGGGTGCTCGAGTCTCAGCTCTTTCATGGCAAATGCTCGCAGCACTGTTTATTCAAATGTGTAATAACAAGCACCAGAAAACAACATGCAACATTCTCCCCCCATCCTGATCTGCAATCCTGGAAGTAGGAGACCTATGACTATGATGGCAAAGGGAACTTATGTCTAGGAACTGTCCTAGGTGGGTACCCTGGTAGGGTCAGAGTTCACTAAGGCAAAGGGCAAATGCCTTGCCTGTTGGCCTACTGCAGCAGCTGGAGAAACCAGACACCTTCTATCTCAGGCCCCACTAGGCAAAGTGGTGATGCCAGCCCTGGTTGGAGGAGACGTGAATCCTCTGAGGACAGCCCTTGGCATTCAGCCTAGCCTGGCCCTCTGGAGGTAATGAGGTGAAGTACCCTTTCCTTTTAGGGTGGCCATGGAGAGGGAGGCTACAGCCTAAATCAAGGCTCTGCTAGCTGAGAACAGGAAGATAAAGAGCCTTCTCTGCTCTAGGGAAATTTCTAGGCAAGGAGTCCTTGATAGGAGTGAATACCCCCCTTTCCCTAGTTGAAGGGCCAGTTGCTAACTTCATCCCCCAAATAAGAACACTTTATCCATCACATTTCAAATAAATTATAAATACGTACACAGAATCCAAACAAAGTTCCAGTAGAAGCTGCTCACAGACCCCCCACAGGGGCCGGCTTGAAGAAAAATAAAGGTTATCCTTTGTTCTCTGTGTCTCTGGAGCTATAAGCAAAACTGTTCCCCCCTTGTCCTTCAGAGACTAGGGACAACTCAGGACAGAGAGCAAGGTTCAGGCTTAGAAATGTTATCACCCCATCTCCTTTCTTCCCTCCTCAAATATCTTCCCCAAAATCTTAAAAAAAAAAAAAATCAAATTATTTTATTGAAGGATTCTAGAGTATTTGGGGATGCAAATCTCATACTCCCCCTGACAACTGGGGAAACTCTGACCCAGAAAGGAAATGACCGGCCCAAAGACAAAGGTACTTACTCTCAGTTACCCTAAAAATGCACACCTTAGTATGGAGGCGTTTAGGGAAGTGAGGAGGTTAGAGAGTGTTGACTCATTCCAGAGGAAAGATTAGCACAGGGCACATTCACCTTTGGGATACTATGTGGCCCAGTTGGCACTGGATAGGAAAATGGTTGGATTCTTCCCTCTTCATCCTTCCATGGCAACCCTGTGGCCATGGAGATTGAGGTGTTTTGAGCTGGGTAGGAGATAGATGACCCTTACTCAGTTAGCATGAACTCTCAGGCCATGGGGTACAGAAAGAGGCTGAAGGAGGTGTCAGAAAGAGGAGAAACACTAAAGACAAATATGGAACTGGGTCCCAAAGTAAAGAAGCACCAATAGCATCTGCCTGCCCTGGGCTGGGAAGGGGATAGAGCCTGGGAAAAATGAGCAAGCAGGGGAAGAATGGGAGGCCAAAGGGAGAGGGCATGTCCTTTAGTAAAAGTGAGAATGGGAAGTATGAAAGAGCAACCAGAGTAGGAGTAGAAAAATAATATGAGCAAAGAGTGAAGAGGAAGTGGGCCCATCCATCCATGACCTGGGGCTCTTGGGCAATTTAGCCTCATGATGGTCCTTTGAGACCTTCCAAAGCCCCAACTGGCCCCACAGGAATGAAAGGAAGGCCTGGACAGACTTGGAAAAGGATCTCAAGTGCTTCAGACCCAAGAGGCTGGATAAAGAAATGGGCAGAGAGGTTGGAGTTGGTGGGGATGGGGCAGTGAGGGGGTAGAGGTACCAAAATGGGGAAGTTCCTAGACCTCTCATCATGTGTCCCAAGGATGAGACCAAGCCCACAAGGGAAGAAGGCCAGGAGATTTTAGGGTAAGTATGAGTTTAAAGGGTTGGTAGAAAGTGCCCCAGCCAGGGTGCTGAAGGAACCTTCAGGGGAAACTGAAGGAACAGAAGAAATTGATTCTGCCAGCAAGTCTCCTGGCTGTAGTTTCCTGTGAGGATGATTGAAATTGCAACTTGGTTGCAATTTATCTACTCCCCACTGACTCCAGACCTCATCAGCATCTTCTACAGGGCTGTTTTCTAGACTAGTTACCCTCCCATGATGGACTCTGTGGGCAAACAGAGGCCAGAGAGGAGAGTGGGAAGCACACTGAGCTCCAGGCTGACCGGAGATCAATGCAGACACAGACCTGGATGACAACCATTGAGGAGGGGGTCACCAAATCCCTGGTAGGCCCTCCATTGAAGGGACCAGGGAGAAGTCTGCCAGCCAATTACTCCTCCTCCCTTTTATTGAAGCTGGACAGGTTGAGATAAAGGAAGCTGCCAGGAACCAGTCTCAGGGCTCTGGTCTCCTGTCCCCAACCCTCACATGCAGCAGAGGCTGGTTCTCAGAGGCTGTGAGGGTATGAGTAAGACCCCAAGTAAGATGAAGCACTGAACTCCTGCCATCCAGGGTTCCAGTAAAATGAGGGACAGGAAGCCACCAGAAAGACTGCCCAGGTTTCCGACAGCTGATGGCTACCCATCCATCGTCTCAAAGCTCAAAGCCCAGAATCATGGGGAAAGGGAGTTGAGGGAGGAGGAAGAGGAAGGTCCTGGAAGCCAGAGGTGTTTGAAGAGGTGCTGTCCAGTTCAGGAGTAGCCAGGTGAGGGCTGCTTACTGCTTCTCCACTGCTCCCTGTTCAGCTTCGCTCTCCTGGCTGGGGCCCTGGCCCTGGTCCTGGCTCTGCCCATGCCATGGGGTCTCCTTGAACACAAACCAACAGTTCCCAGCCCACAGGAAGAAGTTGATAAAGCCAAAGAGCTGCAAAGACATCAGAGGAGTTTGTGAGAATACTAAGGGGGACATTGTGAAAACAGGGATGGGGGAGAGTTCCTGTGTGTGTATGTGTTTGTGCATGCCCATGAGGGTATGGTGGGAGGCACAAAGGACTTGAAAGACTAAAAGAGAAATGGATAGAGACAGGGTTCCAGGCCATCACCCAGTAAGGGATTCTTGGGTCTAAGTGTCTAACTCTGTCCCCAGCACACGCCCAGGGAGTAGAGTAGCTTGGCTACTAGGAGACTCTGGCTCATGGGAGTAGAGCATTGTGCAAAGCAAAGCATAGCAAGGAGCCAAGAGCTGGGACCCTGGTGGACCTTCCCACAGCCACGTGGGGTCCTGTCTGAAGCACCTTCAGACCTGGGGTGGGTGTGGCTGAGCTGTCCAATGTGCTCCTTCCCAAGGTCCAGGAACCCAGACAGGGCTATATTCAAATAATTATTCAAAACCTTAAAACAAAACAAACAAACAAACAAAAAAACCCTATCAGCAGGAAATGCTTAAGAGGAAGTATACTGGTATCTGTAACTAACTCTGAAATTCATTAAAAGTAAGACGAATTGATGGCTGGAGAGAGGCAGATAGATGTGTGATAAAGCAAGTCCAATAAAATGTTAGTGGTAGCAATCTAGGTGAGTATGTAGGTGTTCACTGTAAAATTCTTCCAACTTTGCTCTATGTGCTAAATTTTTCACAATAAAATGTTGGGAAGAAATAAAATACTGGGTTCCAGCAAGGTCCAGAAGACTCCCTAGTGTGCAACCATTAAACTATTCAGTTGCTGAGCTGTGGTAAGGTCCAGGTTCACCAAAGTAGGGCTGATGTGGCAGGGATTATAGGTGGCATTTGAGGACCTTTAGGTCTCAGCAATTTACCAACTGATATGGAAGTATGTTAACATTTTAACAATTGGTATAGCCAAACATGTGCATACCAGCTGGACCAACCACTGCCCAGAAGCCTCTTTCCAGCCTGGAGGCCTGAGCTGTAATGAGCTTCTTCTCACTCATTCTGGGTCTGCTCCCATCTTTGAGCCTAGCCACAGCCCTGCTGCTGACAGTGCTCCCCCTTCACACACTCACGTGTACACACACACATGCACAGTGTAAAACAGGCAGGAAGAGTGCAAGCGTGCCTGGAGGAGAGAAGAGAAAGGAAATGCAAAGGCAGAATACACAGGAGGAGCAGGAGGCTAATGTCTGCTCAGTGTCTGCCAGGGACCAGTAGCCAGCATCAGGTGAAGGAACCACCAGGCCTGGGGACACCCTTTCTGCCTTTCTCAGAATCTGCTAGTGGGGACAGCCTGGTCAGCTGGGATAGCACTGCCTCCCCCAGGTCCCTGCTATGGCCAGAGTTCTCACCACAGAGATGTTGGCCAGGCCCATGGAGGGTGTGGCCCCAGCACTGCACACAGCTTCTTCTCCATGGCACACAGACATAGCTGCGGTCAGGCTGGATGGCCTGGTGGCCCCCTTGACGTCGGTCAGGCCCTTGCCCCAGGCAGCTGCAGCAACCAGCCAGAAGAAGGTGAAAGAGACAGTCACGCAGAAGTCCTAATAGGACAGAAAGACAGGAATATGCACTCAGAAAGCCCCTCCCAAGATCCTCTACTTCTTTTGCAACTGCCATGATGCACTTGGATCCCAGGGTCCCTGGATAGCTGCCTCTTCTCATTCCACCCAAGACCTAAATTCTTGGGAGCCCAGATTGTCCTGAGGAAGCTGTTTATGACACCAAAGGAACCCTGTTTCCCAGGGCTGACTCTGCCCAAGCCCTGAGAACTAAGGCCAGAAAAAATGTACCAGGACATTTGCTGGACAGCTTCACTCCAAAACCCAGGTGGCCTAAACTTCCCACTCTCCCTCCTAGCCTTTCCTTTGGTCACCATCACTCAGCTGTAATTGGTGACAGAGTGAGGGCAGACTGCAGGGACAAGTGGGGTCCCCTGAGGTACCCCTTCCATTCCTGGGATAGGAAGAGAGTGAAGGGGATTCTTATGAACAGGTAACACTTATTAAGGCTACGTATGTACCAGATACTTTATATACATTATCTCATTTTATTCGCCCAAACCACTCTGAGGTAGATACTATTTTTATCCCCATTTTATAGTTGAGGAAACTGAAGCTTTGAGAAGAAAGGGAACTTGTGCAGGATCACATAGCCAGTAAGGAATGGGGCTGGGATTTGAAGCCACACAGTCTGACTTCAGAGCCTGCTTCTCCATGCTGCTATTATGCCTCCTGAGAGCAAGAGGTGGTTGGAAAGCATGAGAAGCAATGGGAGGTTGGTGGTGGCACAGTCCTGAGAGTTGGACCTTCCAACTGGCATGAAGAACTGTGGGAGCCATAGCTCCTGAGGGGACCAACAGCAAAGAGCTGGCAGAGAGATTCAGGAGGTTCCAAATATGGAGATTCAGGCTCAGGAAGGCCACCATATTTATCCTCCCTGACTTGCAGTCCTGCCTTCCCAGCTTTGACCTCAGTTCCAGAATGAAGTTCTCATGCCTTTCTCTGACTCTTCCCTCTGGCTTATGTATGCACCCACTCACCACCAGTGGGAAGCGCTTGTTTTCCGTGTAGAATTTGTGGAAGCGCAGGTAGAGAACAAGTGCAGCCATGGCGTAGAAGAAGGAAAAGATGCCCAGGGTGACAAAGAACTCAGCAGGGGCAGAGAAATCCCCCATGAGGTGCAAGGTCTTGGAGGTGGAGTCCTCGTCACAGAGGGGCATCTCATACTGGACCCGGTTCAACCTGCAGGCAGGAGGGAAGGCCATGCTGAGCACAGGAAAAGCCTCTCCCTGTGAAGGCAGGGGACTCTGCCTCTGAACTAGTCCTGTGCTGGTTCTGACCCTGACAAAGCAAAGGGGAGGGTGGGAAGTACTTAGAGAGTAATGTTTCTTGGTAGGGTGGGGCTTGCAGTTAAGACAGGACTCCCACAAACTTCCTGGGGATTCCAGTCAAGCCCTATCTCCTCCTCAGCTGCCACCCAATAGTCATCCACCTACCCAGACATAATGACCGTGAATTTCCAAGTATCTCCAGGGCCCTTTAGGTCACAACCATAATATAGTCCATCTATTTCTGGTAGTCAAATCGCTAGGCAGATGGGCTTCATTCTGCCTCTTGGGAAAGCAGAGGCCTACAGTGGCCAAAGTAAAGTTGGAATCACCCATTATTGGGGCTTTATTTAGGCCTCTTGAGAGACTGTATTGAACTAACTAACTAAATAAACAACTCACCTAACTTGGTGCTGACTAGAAGAGGAATCCTTATTCTCTTAAACTCATTCTCCCCTAAGTTCCCAAATACCTAAGAGACAGTGCGCTCTTCTAATTCCTAGTCAAAAAATGTCTTCCTGTATTCTCATGCAACCAGGTTATCATCAGCTCACATTATCTCTTCAGGACCTAAGTACTAACAAGATACCTTACCTCCAAGGCAGGCAGGAGGCTGCTGAGGGTCAGACAACCCTGCCCAACTTGGCCAGACTCTTTTAAGCCTCCTTCTCAAGTTATATGAGTTCTGGTTAAAGCATTCAGCTGCTAACCAAAAGATCAGGGATTCGAATCCACCAGCCACTTTGTGGGAGAAAGATGAGTCAATCTGCTTCCATAAAGATTTACAGCTTGGCAATCCTACAAGGCAGTTCTACTCTGTCCTATATAGGGTCACTATGAGTCTGAATTGATTCCATAGCAGTAGTCCCCCACCTCCACCCCTACCTCCACCCTCCTGTATAAACTGTTGTTCTCTACTGTTGGTTGTCTACGAACTGCAACATTATTGTAACAATGATGCATCTGTGTTTCCCAGTGTGTCTGAAATTCCTGGAGTTCAGGAAGGACCCAAGTCTTCCTAAATTCTATTTGAATATGGAATGGCACACAACAAATGGTCTTCAGGCTTCTAGAGGAGGAGGACCAAGGAGGTCCTGACAATCCAGTGAGAGATTGTGCTGGGTCTGACCCAATTCCTGCTCACCTGAAGGGATAGCCGAATGAAACAAGGATGGCGCTCACGTCCTTGGCTTCGTTGTTGCAGCGAACCACTGCTCCTGTCTCCCCGCTGTAGGAGCCGCAAGACCCGAAGGCGAAAATAGCAAAGAGCTGAGGGAGAGTAAAGTCTTTATGAGAATCAGAAGGCCTCAGATGACCATGACAAATTCCCTATGAACCTCCCTGACTCACAGCAGGGTATAGACATGGGAGAAGAGGGGGCAGAGAGAAGGATTCTCTTTAATCAAGTTCTTCCTGGACAGGGATTCATGGCTTCCACTGGACTCCCAGACTCAGGTACTGTGTTCACTGCACAGGGTGTTAGAACAAACAGCCAAATGAGTAAGGATAGCATTGAGTAGTGCCTGGGAGAGAGATGAAGAGAGAAAAAATGGACAGTTTCCAGGTCTTTTCATTCTACATGACATTGGGGACCAGATGCCCTTAAGATGATGACTAACCTAAAGCCTCTGCCAAGTCAGGCTTTTGGAAACTTGTAGATTAAAACTAGACTTGGATTTCCTCCCCAAGGGAGAAACACCCTCCAAAATAGCTTTCTCTGCACCAACCTAGATCAGGCATGACTGGAACTATTTCCATTACTCCTTTGAACAGCCTGGTGGCATAATGCCCAAGGCATTTGACTGCTAACCAGAAGGCTGGTGGTTCAAACCCACCAGCAGCTCCTCTTAAGGAAGGTTGGGCAATCTACTTCTGTAGTGATACCGCCTCGGAAACCCAAGGAAGGATCACTATGAGTCGGATCCAACTCCACGGCAGTGAGTTTTGAACCAGCCATCAAGTCTTGTCATTACCTTGTTCCTCACTCCCAGTGGCTTCCTGCTTCAGAAGTGGGAGTGTAGCTGGAGGGGACAACTTCTGCCAAACCTTCAGAGGACCCGAGGGCAGGGGCCACAATGCTGCCCAATGATACTGCCAGCATAACTCCTTTTCCACCCTAAAGGCACATTTCCTTCTAGTGACAGTGCTGAGTGGCTGAGCTAAAGCTGACAGTATTGGCTCAAGCCCAAAGAAAAATCCCCTCCACTTGTCTTATCAGTTTTACACTATTTTCCCAATGGTGTTTCCCTCAGTAATCTGTTGAGGCTGCCATGTCTTAATGAAGAACTGAAGGCATTTCAGACCACTTGAATTGTTTTCCTCTCCACCTTTCAACACATTTTACTAAAGCTCCTACCTTTAGTGAAATAAAATTTTTCATCCTATGGGTTTCAAATTTCTTTCTGGGAAAATGCACTTTGGTTAGAAAAAGGAGGTGACAAATTGGAAACCATTATGCTCCCACATCATCAACCCAGGCCCCATTTCCTGTGTGTTTATCATTGGTTTGTACACAATGTAAATATTCTTATTCAGCGGAAAGTTTATTTTGTATTATTCATTTTCTATGTTTCTCTGTGAGTCGGTATCTTGGACATTAAACACCTAGAAGACAGCTAATCTACATCCCAGTCCTGTATCCAATGAAGAGAATAGAATTGTGTGCATATTATTTTGCTTACGCACATTAGTGCTCTGGACTGAAAGGAAACCTGGATCAGGAGTCAGGATATCTGGGTTCTAGTTCTGGCCCTGCTACTAATTAGTTGGGTGACCTCTGATATCAGTCCTCCTTTGGAATCTTAGTTTTCTCATCTGTAAAATGAGGGGTTTGAAGTAGAGGTCTTTTCAGCTCTGGAAGTCTCTCATTCTTTGAGGGTAATGCCAGCAGTGTGTCTTTACTGAGCCTGCCAACAGCTGTGCTCTGGCCCTGCATGGTGTCCGGTGCCAGTGCCCTGCCTCACATAGTCTGGCCTGACAGACCTTCGCCATGCTAGAGTCGCTGACCCATCTCTAAAGGTCATAATGGGCACCTCTCTGTTTCCAGGACAATGAGGATTCTCCCCATTTTTAAAGACATCTAGGAAAGGAGATTGTGTAACCAGTCTCCAAAGCCTGAATAACATCCTCATTGAACTTAAATCTCAAGGCTGTAGTAGAACCCAGTTTGCTTATCTTCTTAACAGTTGGAGAAAAGTGAGTCAAAGCCTTTGCTAAGTTACCCTTTATGTACACAAAGCTACCTCACTGGTGGCATAACAATGGAACTTCTCTAGCTCTTCCTCATAGAAATTCTCTAATCTTTGGTCAGTTCTGTGTCTCTCTGACTCCTCCTAGAAGTTCCTTTATGCCTCTTAGCTTCTGGTGCCCAGAACTGGACACGATCAGGCAGGGAGTCACATTCTAGGAAGGGTAGCACTGTTGGGTATGTTTTTAACCGTTGGCAGTTAGTCAGTAAATGGCTCTGTAAAGGGAAGTAGGTATTTCTAATTTGGAGCAGTGAAAAGTCAGTTACAGAGACTCTCTTCATTAACAGTCACTTGGCAAGCACTCTTGAACATCCACAGAAAGATACTATTTATTGAGCATCTACTATATACCAGTTCTAACAGCAAACAAAAGAGAAAAAAAGTCCCTGTCCTCATGGAGCTCATATTCTAGAGCTGCACTATCCAATATAATAGCCACTAGCTACATGTGACTATTTAAGTTCATTAAAATTAAATAATATGAAAAACTGAGTTCCTCATTTCAAGTGCCCAATAGCTACATGCGGATAGCAGGTACCATACTAGACAGCACAGATGATAGAATTTTTCCATCATTTCAGAAAGTTCTACTGTGTCTAGATGATGGATGACTTTGAGATTCTCACAGTTCTGAGTTCTGCTTTCTGATTCCCCTGAGGGCAAAATATATACCCACACTAAACTTAGTATTAAGTGTATTCTCTTGTATTCTGATTCTTTGAAAGTCAGGAAACTTAAACACTTTACATAATAACTCTTTAGTATTCTCCATTTATTATTAAATCTGAACATCAGTCAGTCAGATGGTGTCAGATAACAGACAGTTTGCTATATAAGGGGAAGAAGGGAGAAATCAGAGGAGAATCTCACAGGTTCATAGAACAACAGAGGAGAAAGGATCTCAGAGATTATCAAGTCCACCAGAGGTATAAACTGATGCCCCAAAAGAATAAGTGACTTTCCCAAGGTCACATTTCCCCAATGTGAGAGCCAGGCTTAAGATTCCCATCTGCTGATTCCTGTCTACTGTTTTTTCCACTTCAGTCATTCAACAGATACTTGAATATTTATTGAGCATCTACTTTGTGCCTGGTACTGGAGACACAAAAATGAATAAGACCCAGCTCCTGCCCTCAAGAGTTCACATCCGGAAGGGACAGTGTCATGCTAAAACAGACAAACAAAAACAAAATCCTGCATCACAATTATTAAGGCAAAATTAGAGAACTTTACCAAGTGTAGTAAGGATTATAAGGAGGGAGAGGGTAACTCTATGCCTAGGATGCAAGGGCACAGAAGTATACCCTTTCTAAATCCCCTCTGACTCCTCCTCCTCCACCTCTCTGCATCAGATTTGGTTTCTTCCTTCACTGTGCTATGTGTCTGAGTCACAGGAAAGAGAAAGAACTAAAACCATCCCTGTTACCAAGCACAAGATTCTGAGATGAACAAAGTGGTCATAATGAACAGGAACCAAGAAGAGATGGGGCCCTGAGACAGGGAGAATCACCGGAGTTCTGGTGCTCATCCACCTTCCAACTCTTGGTCCTGCATTGCTGGGGGCAGGGGAGGTCATGCACAGCCCTCCAGCTCCTTCCTCTCCTGCCTCTGCATCTCTTTGGGAAAGATGTCAATAACCTTCCTGGTTTAAGGATGAGGCTCCACATCAATGCTGACCTACTTGCCGGTAATAATCCTGTGTCAGTCTCAAGAACTCTAACATCATCAGTTAGTGCAGGGCACAAGGAAGATAGGTTCCCTCCCCAAATTCTTCTGCCACAATCACTCCATAGGTTTTAAGGATGTTCTTTAAGGTTTAAGGTGTTCTTTTACCTTCCCCCACACTGATTGAAATAGGTTATTTTCATCACAGAGATCCCAGAGCCAAACAAGTGATGTTGGCATCCCAAAGTAGATTATTGATCAGGGTCATACCTAGTTAAGGCAATACGATTTATTTATAAGCAAATGGGAACAAGGACAGAGAAACCCACAATATTCTTTTGGACCTTACATTCAAAGCCAGGATTCAGCAGTGACATTTGAATAATCTCACCAAATAGCAAGTTTACCTAGACAGTCTACATAAGGCAGGAAAGTGTTACTGAAGATCAAGGGAAAGGGGAGGTTCAGGAATAGGAAGGAAGGGACCCACTGCTTACTGAATACTTCCTGGAGTGCCAGGCTTCCCATGGTCCTCCTAATGCTTCCTAGGGCAGATGCATTACACATAGGACTTCTGTAAACCTCCCAGTGAGCAGTGAGATAGACCTCACCCTCATTTACAGATAAGGAAACTAAGGTCCATAAAGATTTCAGCACTTATCCAAGGTTCCATGGCTAGAAAGCAGAGGAGACTGGATTCAAACCAAAGTTTGACTTCAAAATCAGCCCCGCCCCCTTTTTTAAACTCACTGTCTAACAACTGACATATACTCATCATATTTCTTTAGCTTAGTATAGATAGAGTGAGACTCCAAACATTTGAACTGAGGTGAGATTAGTGAATTTCTAAATTTTAAGAACTCTAAGATACTGACTGATAAAAGAATATCATTACTGTCTTTTTGCAAGGATTCCAGTAAAAAACCTTTGCTTGTTGGTAATCATAACAATAAAAATTTTTTATTACCATTACAATAACTGCAGGATTTGTATATGTGTGTGTGTGTGTGTGTGTGTTTCCTTCTTTAGTCAGGAGCATCTGATCCCTCCAAACAAAAAAAACCCAAACTCACCGCCATCGAATCGATTCTGGCTCATAGTGAATTCTGGCTCATAGTGACCCCTCCTTGAGTTTCCCAGGCAGTATCTCTATGGAAGTAGATTGCCCAATCTTCCTTCTGAGGAGTGGCTGGTGAGTTTGAACCACTAGCCTTCTGGTTAGCAGTCAAATGCCTTAGGCACTATGCCACCAGATCTCCCAAGCAAGTAAAAAACCCAAATGACATTTCCACTGTTATTTCCGGTGCAGGTCCTTGTGTACTTTAATGTTAGCTCATCTGCAGAGACTCAGAGCAAGTGAAACTCACACTTCCTGAACACAAGATGACAGTAAAAGCAATCCTTGTCGCCTTACGATGCTACCCTGCAAATGAAGGCTGAGTTCAGAATCTGACCTGGTCCCGGGACTTAGCATTATGAGAGAAAGGGGCCTCTGTCTTACATAACCCTTCTCTGAGAAGTCTAGGAAAAGTAAAAGAAATCTTAGATCTTAGGGCATTAGTGCTGACCCTGGGACAAGACTGGATCATTTCCTTAAGCACTGCTTTGTGCAGCCTTCATAGAAATGTTGTGTGTATGGGTGAGGGGGAGGGTATGGGGGGAGTGGGGAAAAGGATGGAAGGATTGAAGAAGGGAGCTTTTCAGAATCTCCCCAGGGAGGAAGATTCCATGGTCTAATAATCTCATTGCTTCCCTCATTCCTTGACAGTCTTTCTCAAATTTCCCTTAGATCCTTTTGTTTAATGATAAACTTACACCTTTATGTTTCAGGTTCTGCTCCTCATGGATCATTCATAATGGCTCTTTGAATTCTGGATGCCAGTCACTTGGAGTCTTAACATCATTCTTAAATGGCCCCCTCTGTCACTCCAATGATGGGTCGAACAGGGTAGTGGGAGGCAGTGAAAGAGCTCAGTCAGCAGTCAGTCTAACTGCTCTTGGTGCAGTAGAGAGAGTGGAAAGTCCCTGCCAGGTCCCAGCGTTCCCACTTGGGAGCACGCCAGACTGGCCTGTAGCCCCAATCAGGAGCTCAGATATCCAGAGCTCTGCACGCACTATTGCCCCTGGATTCCAGATTTGATGATTCTCATTCAAACCATGATTTAAGAATTGGTGGCACAGTGCTAACTCCTGTCTCCAGTGAGTTCAAAGCCCTTTACAACCCAATTCTCCTCAGTATTAATGGTAACTTATTCCCAAGCTGAATTCTGTTCTGAGGACACAGTGAGTTATCCATGCACCATTTGTGTGTGGATTGTCTAACTTAAATCTCTTCTGCAATAGTGCACTAAATGCTCTCAACAAGTCTATGATTTGAAAGAGTGACCATATCTGTCCACATTCCTAATTTACACTCTAATTTAATTGGGCACTGGGAAGGACAGAGAGCATATCAATGTCTCAAAGTACTAGTGAGGGCAAGGAGATGCTATTTTCCTAGACATTACAGGGGAAACTGAGAGCCTGGATGTGGTGCCTTCTGCAAGGTCATAGGGAAATCCTAATATAGGTCAATTTTCTAGCATACTAACCTATTTAGGGTATAACAGGACTCTACAGAGAGCCTTTCATTTGGCTAATGAGGAAACTGAGGCCTAAAGAAGTCATTGCCCAAGGTCATACAACTGGGTCCAGGTCACAGAACCCAGGGCCTCAGATTCCCAACTCAGTGTTCTATCTCATTTTACAAGCCACATATTAGCTGCACTTGATTTTTATTTCTGTTGTTTAACACTAGAGCCATGAGCTCCATTCATTCATTTGCCGCACCCTCATTCAGCTATAGGAACCGAGATTACCCAAGTTACTTTAGTAGGGCAACCACTGAGCACTGGGATCCTGTCTTCTGTGTCCACTCCCAGGATTAACCAGGACCTGGTGGGTTTGGAGGCGGGATGGTTTCCATCACCTGCCTTCTTCCCTCTATTGCCTTCTGAGGCCTCCCTCACCGTGAAGGGCTAAACTCATCCTCCTCGTCGTCCTCCTCCCCCCTCCCACAACCAAGGAGTGGTATGTGCAGGATCAGAGTTCTGGAAAGGTTACACCCTCTGGAAAGGTTACGTCCTCTCGCCGGGTGAAATGTGAGCGCCTGGGCAAAAGTTCCTTGCACATAGAAGGACCGAATCCGGGACTCCGCATGCCTCGCTCCTCAAGCTCCTTCCACCCAAATGCTGGAGAAGCAGCCCAGCCCGCCCCTCCCCCGCCCACCTGTCGCCGCCCCCCACCCTTCCGCCTTGGCCCGGCCACAGCATCCCCTCCACCCTCCACCCCGGGCCACATTGCTTCTGAGCAGCGTCACAGCCCAAGCTCCCGAAATAGCCCAAGGCTGGAGCAGCGACTCACCCACTGGAGAACTTTGATGAAGCCCAGTGGCTCCTCCAGCCGCTGCCAGCGCAGCCCCAAGAGCAGGCGGTCCACCTGCGAAGACAGGGACTGGGGTCAGGGCAGTAGGGGGCGCAGGGAAAGCGCTGGGACCCCTCTCCACTACTCTCACCACGGGGAAAGGGAGGAACAAGGGTCGGACCAGACCCCCAGGTGGAGAGGGGGCGGTGAGAGAGCCCCGGAGACGGAGGGGTGCGCGGTAGGTACCTGCTGGCGCGGCGACTTGTCCGCGGTGCGGCCCGAGCTCTCCGTCGAGGACATGCTGGAGCAGCGGAGCTGGGGCGCAGGGCAGGGGTTCGACTTCCTCGCCTGGAGGCTGCGGGGAGCGCGGTCGGGCTGGGGGCTTCAGGCCCGCGGCGGGAGAAGCGCGCGGGGCCGGAGCGCGAGTGGCCGTCGGCGGGCCGGGCTCCAGGCTGGCGGGGTGGGTCGCGGGGCGCTGCTGCTCGCGCTCGCGTAAGCCGCGGCCGCGGCTCTGCCCCGCCGGCTGCAGAAAGCCCCCGAGTCGGATTCAAACTTCTGTCAAACTCTGGAGCGAACTTGGCAGGAGAGTCACGTGGCCTGCGCTCTCTAACCCTCCTCCCGCCCCCCTGCGCTCCCCCCTGGCCAGCCAGGCACCTTAAAGGGACCTGTGGCTTCCGCGGGCAGTTTGGCGGCGAGTGGGCTCCAGCTTTTGGCTGCAAGTGTCAATCACCACCGAAATCTGACAGCCGCTCCACTCTCGCCAAAGAGAATCCTAGTCGGGAATCCTAGCCTGGAGCGCGCAGTCACACAAGTCCCTGTTTTATTTTTCCCCCAAGTTGCTGGGCTTCGGAAGCGCTCTGTGTCGGTTTTTCTCCTTTCCATACCTTAATACCCACACCTTAAGAAGTTTTCATCAGGCATGATTAACCCTGAGGAACTTATTCCCAAATCAAGGTTATAAACCTTACAGTTAGCAAACCCCTTACTTCCAAAATCGTCACGTGCCAGGACAAAAAGGCAATAGAATAGAAATTGCTCAATTTTTATTCTATAAATGTAGGTAGTGTTTTCTGTTTTGTTTTTAACAACAAAAAGCGCTCGTGTATTATGTTGTTGTTATGTTATGTTATGTGCCGTCCAGTCGGACCGACTCATAGCGACCCCTCCTTGGGTTTCCGAGGCAGTATCACTACGGAAGTAGATCGCCCCATCTTCCTTCCGAGGAGTGGCTGATGGGTTTGAACCGCCAGCCTTCTGGTTAGCAGCCAAGTGCCTTAGGCACTATGAATTTATTATGTTAGTAATTAAAAAATTATTAGCATTATGAGTCTCTCCTCTTCCAGAGCAAAGAATGAAAAAAACCAAAGATTCAGGGAAACAATTAGTCCAAGTGACTGGTACACCATGTGATCCTCGGCCTATAGGACTATGAGACCAGAACTAGATGGTGCCTGGCTACCACTGTCAGCCACTGGGAAGGGGATCTATGTAGGAGATCCTGGATAGAGAGGGAGAACAATGTGAAACAAAACTCAAAATCATTTGGGAAAAAAGGGGGGGGGCAGATTTGCTGGTTTGATAGAGCCTGGTGGAACCACTGAGATTATGGCCCCTAGCTGCCCTTCAGGTCTGGAATTGAACCCACACCTGTGGCTTCCAGACAAACAAAAGCAGGCATATGAGGTGATTTACACTAGGAAGATACACTCCTTGGAGAGAACAATCATGGGAGAACAGAAGGGCTGATTATGCACAGGGAGACAGCTCAGGGGGCAGGAGAGCATGGAGGGATGGACACAGGGAAGAGGTAAGTATCAGGAGGAAGAGGGAGGGGAGCTATTGCATTGTGGTAAATTGTAGTCAATGTCATGAGAAAAAGTGTATGTGAATTGCTGTATGGAAAGTTAATTTGTTCTGTAAACTTTCACCCAAATCACAATAAAAAACAAATATTATCATTAAAAAGTATAACCTCAATCCCCTTTAAAATGACCGTCACCAAATGAGGGTAAAAAAATAAAAAACCTTACAAGAAGTAAACAGGCAAAGAATGTAGTTTGCATTAAAAAATTGACATTGTTGCATTTTGATTATCCTTAAATCCAACCTTAATATTTAAAAAATGTTTGCAGAACACCCCTACCCCCATCCCACAGTATGTAGTGGTGATGCTTATGGGAGTATAAATTTAAGTAGTAAAATGTTAAGTAATTTGCCCAAGAACACTTAGTCAGTGGGCAAATGGCCGGAGGAAAGAAAGGACCTGCATTTCCTAAGAATCGGCTTGTAAATATGTATCTATCTCATCACAAAGTTATTCTTGGAGATTGCCCCAGTAATTCAAAATGACTGCTTTTTGAACAAGCACAATTCATTCCCCCCCTGAGAAAGTGCCTTCCCAAGGTTCCTCTGGGGCAAGGGACTTGGGCTGGGATCAGGCCAGCTGGACTTGTTGAAGGAAACTTCTCCAGAAGACTTGCTGTACAAATGTAGGCTAATGAAGGAACCACTGAGTCCCAAGTTCAGCTCTTAATACATTGTTCTGCAGTCTTAGGTTCCTGTTCTGTTCTATCTTACTTACTTCATGAAGTCATTGTTTTGGTTACCTCTGTGCTTCTCTAACAGAAAATACTACAAATTGGTGGCTTTAACAAACAGGAGTTTATTCTCCTACAGTTTTGGAGGCTAGAAGTCTGAGTTCAAAGTGCCAGACTTTAGGTAGGGGCTGGGTGAAAGCCCCTCAGCCTTGGGCTTCAGCTCTGCCTCCTGCACCCAGCCCACTGAAGCTGGAGGCTTTCTTCACTCAGGCAGCTGCTGAGGCTGACAACCCAAGGCTGACAAGTAAAAAGGCACAGTCCCAATATTACCAAACCAACAGCAGGCCACTGATTCAAGTCCATTAAGAGTCCCAAGATTGGCAATCAACATGGCAGGCTACTGAACAACGACTTGGCTACGTGCAGGATTCAAGCATGTCAAAAGCCGCAGACTGTCCTCAAAGCTGCTTCTTATATATTGGAAGCAGACCACATCCCTAAAACAGCTACTCAACTGCTCCAGTAGATTCCACCATGCAGTTGATTACCAATCTCACCATGGGGAATAACTACATTCAGCTGCCTAACCACTCACCCAGGCCCAGCAAGTTGACACATAAAACCTTAACCACCACAGCCATCATAATGATGATGTGTGGAAATGCCCATAATACGTGAATGTGAAACAATACTTATTACCAATGTTTCCAACTATATGCATACAGAATACAACACAATCAGAAAAGAATTGAGAATGCAATACATAAAATGGAGGATAAGTACATAATATCACAAAATGGAGTACAATTGTATCAGATCACAAAATGGAGTACAACCATACAAGACTGGGAATTATGGCCTAGCAACGTTGACACATAATATTAACCATCACAATTAGGTTGTAAGGCGTGTATATTTTCAACTTTGAATTTGGAAATATACACTCATGTAACCATCACCACAATCAAAATGTAGAACATTTCTATTACCCCAATGAGCTCCCTCATATCACTCAATCCCCAGGCAATCACTGATCTGCTTTCCATCATTATCAATTCATTTTGCTTTTTCTGGAATTTCAAATAAATAGATTATACAGTATGTACTCCTTTATGTCTAGCTTCTTTCACTAAGCATGTTTTTGAGGTTCATCCATATTGTTCCATATGCATACCATATGAATTATGTATGACCCATCGTATTTCAATAAACTAACCCACTGCCATTGAGTTGATTCTGACTCATAACGACCCTATCAGACAGAGTTTCCGAGGCTGTAAATATTTAGGGAAGCAGACCGTCTCATCTCTCTTCCTCTGAGCAGCTGGTGGATTCGAACTGCCAACCTTTTGGTTAGCAGCCCAGTACTTTAACCATAGCTCCACCAGAGTGCCTCCACATTTCAATAGATATTGTTTACCTATTCACTTGATAAAGCACATTTGGGTTGCTTACATTTTTTAGCAATTATGAAGTGAATTGCTATAAACATTTTTGCAGATTTTTTTGTCAATCTAAGTTTTTATTTTTTATTTCTAGAGTAAAGATCTAGAATCCATTTGCTAGATCATATGGTAAATGTATGTTTAACTTTACAAGGATCCACTAAACTGTTTTCTAGAGTAGCTGTAACATTTTGTATTTCCACCAGCAATGTACTCCAGTTGCACTTAATCTTTGTCAACACTTGGTATTGTTAGTTTTTTCTTTTTTTAAGCCAGTATAGAAGATGTACTGCAATATTTCATTCTAGTTTTAATTTGTATTTCTCCAATGGCTGAACATTTTTCAGTAAGCTTTTTGCCATTTTTATATATTCTTTGGCAAAGTGTCTGTTCAAGTCCTTTGAGCATTTTTTAACTGGGTTATTTGCTTTCTTACTATTTGAGTTTTGAGATTCTTTATAAGAATGTTCTAGATATGCATCCTTTCTTGGATATGTGATTTGCAAATATTTTCTCACAGTCTGTAGATTCTTTGTATTTTCTTAATAGTGTCTTTTTATCTTTTTAGATATGGTAAATATATATATATATATACACACAGCAAAATTACACCAATTCAATATTAGCAATGTCTTTTGTAAGATCAAACATTTTGGTGAAGTTTGATTTCTCTTTTTCATTATTATTTTATAGATTATGCTTTTGGCATCACGTCTAAGTTCTCTTTACCTAACGCTTGGTCATGAAGATTTTTTTCCCAATGTTTTCTTTTAAATGTTTTACAGTTTTATGTTTTACATTGAGGTATTTTGAATTTTTTTTTTTTTTTGTATAAAGTGAGAATTTAGGTCAAAGTTCATTATTTCTGCATATAGAAGGTCCAATTGTTCTAACCACTTTTTGAAAAGACTCCACTGAATTGCTTTTGCACTTTGGTGAAAAATCAATTGGCCATTAAGTCTATTTCCAGAACTCTAATCTACTCCATAGGAGCTCTGGTAGCATAGTGCCTAAGGCATTTGACAGATAACCAGAAGGCTGGCGGTTCAAACCCACCAGCCACTCCTCAGAAGGAAGGTTGGGCAATCTACTTCCGTAGTGATACCGCCTCAGAAACCCAAGGAGGGGTCATTATGAGTCTGGTCCTACTCAATGGCACATAACAACAACAACAACAATCTACTCCATGGATCTATGTGTCTGTCTCATTGCCATTCACACTGCATTGGATACCATAGTTTTATAGTAAATCTTAAAACAGGGTAATATGATGCTCTCTTCAGCAGCACATATACTTAAATAGGGTACTATGATTCCT